ACCCAAATTTTTAAGTAAGGCAGTTCTTCTGCTACTTGAAATCTAAGAATACTGACTATCCCACCGACTGCCAAAAGGGCAAACAAATCTGTCTTGGAGGAAATGCAATCAGAGTGATCCTTACAGGAAAGGATCATACAATTTCATCTTAGGTTCTTTGGTCATGTTGGAGGGTAGGGAATACATCATGGAGGGAAAGGTGGAGGGTCAGAGAAAGAAAGGAAGACCCTCGAGAAGATGGGATAGACACAGTGACTGTACGAATGGGCTCTTGCATATCAGAGATGGGATGAGGATGGTACAGGATAAGGCTAGGTCAGATCTGTGTTTACAGTACTATGATGAGTCATAGTAAACTTTATGGTACCTAACAGTAACAGTTCTTTCACTTATGAAAAGAGGTTTTGTAACGCCACCCCTTTAAGATATTTAAAGAGGTAGGGAGTAAATGATCCAATTGTTTTAGGCTTGGAAGTGGCTTTTTAAAAAGTTAAGAGGATAGCAATTCAGGGAGTCCAGAATAAACTGCAGATAAACAAACTGTACCAGTGATGTGCATGGATTGGAAAAAGTTGGAAGGTTTCTCAAGAAGGGAAAAGATCTGGTGGAATACTGAAATGATTGAAGGTCTGGGTCTTTTTATATACATTTGGATAGCTGTGAATGAAAGGTGAAATGGACAATCTGAAGGCAGTCAGGACTGAGTCATGAGGCCGAAGCTAAAGAGGGTTCATGTTCTCAAAGACAGAGGCAGCCAAGGGGGAAATGTGAAGCAGGCAGCCTAACACTGGAAGCCGGGCCAGAGTCACTTTAGGGACAGCCACCAGAACATCTTGGAGAAAAAGAACGTTTCTCTGAAGTTATACCAGACCCAACCTCTGATAGCTGGGTTACCTTTGGCAAGTTCTCCAAAATGGGGTGAAAAAAATGAATTTAAGTCCATGGAAGAGTCATAAAATAATGGCTGACGTTTGAGTGCATCCTCTTTTCTGCACCTAGAATGGTGCCAGGAGCAGTGAGGCGAAGGTTTAGTCCCTGGCACGTACCTCTTCCTCAGCGCCTTGTTTTCCTCTCCCTTCTCCTTCCGTCTCACTCCTGAGGTAAAGTTCAGAGATGAACTTTGGTAGAGTTTAGAGTTTCTGAGTGTGACACAATAATTATATCCCTATTTCAAGCAGCAAGAAATGCATTACTTTTTTTTTCTTTTTCTTTTTTATTATTAATTTCACTGAAAATTCACAGAGACTTTGGATATCCATTCACTCATTGTTGCACTTTTCTCCCCTCCCAATCTTTCCCCCTAGAACACTACCCTCTTGGAAAAGTAAAAGAAAAATTCTTTGTTTTACAATCCCTCCTCCCAGGGCCACTCCACTACGCAGCCTTCGCTCTGGACTCCTGACAGGACAAAGATACCTAATCACATATCCCTTTTAAACAGTTTTCTCCCTCATCTGTTTCAATGCAGTATACATTACTGAACCCATCTTTCACAGTCTCCCCTCAACCCCAAGGTCAGTCCTGTTTTACAACAGTGGCACTATGCAGTATTTGTCCTTTTGTGACTGAGATACTACACTCAGCATAATGTCCTCCAGGGTCACCCATTTTGAATAATATTGCATGAGTTCCTTGTTTTTCAATGCAGCATAGTATTCCATTGTGTGAATATACCACAGCTTCTCTATCCATTCATTTGTTGATGGACACTTAGGTTGTTTCCAACTCCTTGCCATTGTGAACAAAGCCGCAATAAACATGGGTGTGCATATGTCTGCTTGGATATCAGTTATGGTCTCTTTGGGGTATCCCAGTAGTGGAATTGCTGGGTCAAATGGTATCTCTATTTGCAACTTTTTTTTTAAAAAAGTTTATTTATTTTGTGTTATGTGTATGTGCACTGTCAAATCAGGTCTGACTGGTATAGGAGGAGATTATTTCTCCTTCTCCAGCAGAGCATCTGGTGGATTTGAACCACACACCTCTGGGATTTCAGTGAAGCTTCTTGCCACTAGGCCACCAGAGCTCTATTTGCAACTTTTTGAGAAAGTGCCATACCGCCTTCCACAGTGGTTGCACCATTTTACACTTCCACCAACAGTGAATAAGGGTTTTAATTTCTCCACAACCTCGCCAGCATTTGTTGCTTGCTGTTCTGTTAAATTGTGCTATTCTGACTGGGGTAAGATGCTATCTCATAGTTGTTTTAATTTGCATCTCTCTTAGAGCTAGGAATTTTGAACATTTCTTCATGTGCTTGCTGGCCATCTGAATGTCTTCTTTGGTGAAGTGCCTGTTCATATCCTGTGTCCATTTTTTTATTGGATTATTTACCTTTATCTTGTTGTGGTGAATGCATTACTTTTTTTTTATACATTATTTATCCCCTTTTTTGTCTAAATTTATTTTATTTCTCTGTGTGTGTACCGTCAAATCAGATCTGACTGGTACAGGAGAAGATTGTTCCTCCTTCTCCAGCAGAGCATCTGGTGGATTCGAACCATGCACCTCTGAGATTCCTTTGAGTGAGATCTGACTGGCATAGGAGATTACCCCTCCTTCTCCAGCGGAGCATCTGGTGGATTCGAACTGTGTGCCTTTGGAATTATAGCATGGCTTCTTGTCACTAGGCCACCAGAGCTCTAAGAAATGCATTACCTGTTACATGGTGACCCAGCACATAGTGGATTATTTGCAGATGAAAGAAAAGTTTCTTAAAACAAAGTTAATCTATTGTATATGGTACACTATTTTCTATTTCTTTTGAAATAGTATTGAGTAGTATTTCTATTGAAATACTATTTCATTCCTCAAACCCACTACTGAATTGGTTTCACGATCTTTCTGATGGCCTGCTCCTCCTACTGTGAAAACCACCACCAGGGAGGAAATGACTCATGCGCTGATTACAATTGGAGGAAAACACACACTGAGATGAATAGTTCCCTTCGCTCTAGCATTGTTTACTGGCTGCCTCAATTAGTTTTCCTAACTCTGGAAAGGCAAATCTGCTACTTCAGAATTCCAATGCAAAGATCCCTTCATTCACAAGAATCTCACTCTAAAGAACTGTTCTCATTACAAATCAATACACCCACATTCTGATAAATAGTAGCGCCATTGGCTTCACTGGCCCAATGGGTCCTGGAGCAAATAAACTTAACTGGCCTGTATTCTGGGAATCAAACTTTAGTTAAAGCAAACTTTTTGGGTTTTGGTGTTTTTGTCCACATTTGTGGGGCATTTTACTTTTCTTATTGTAAAAATACAGGTAACATGACATTTGCCAATGCAACATTTTTCAAACGCACAATTCAATAAATTCATTTGCCTCAATCTTGTTATACAACCATCATCAACATCCTTTGCCAATCTGCTCATTACAACACATTTTTCAATGGGATTTCTGGAGGAGCTTCTGGTCTGTGAAATTCCCTAAACTGTATACACAACTGTCTGCTTTCCAGGCCCTTCACCTTCTGTCAAATTTCCAAAGGAGTTCAAATTTTCCTTGAACAACTGTAAGTTGCCTTAGAAAATGAACTAAACTGCTCTAGTATATTTATTAAACATTACTGAGTTACAACAGTCTTTTCAGAATGAAGACTAAGATGCTTGTAGTTTACATATGATCCTGCAGCTGGGGTGAAATGTCCATCTTTTTCTTTTTGCGGTGAAATCTGCATTTCCTCCACTTGGAAGCTCTTAAAACAATTCTCTTGCTCTGCAATTTAAACCTGTTGTTATGTGCACTAGAGTTGGAAATGACTCACAACTGACCCTCTTGGGGGTTTTCAGAGGCAGTTAACCACACTGGAGGAAATGGCCCATCTTTCTTCCTGGGGAGCGGCTGGTAGATCTGAACTGCCTGCCTTAGACTTGGCAGCGCATTTCCTAACAACTAGGCCACCAGAGTTCCCTTCAATTTAACCAAGTCTTTCTTTCCTTCTAGACACAATGACCACTCATTAACTTCACTTCAAGGACAACCATATCCTCTCTTTTTGTGATCACAAGGTAAACTTCCATGTTTCAGAAAACTGTAATCTCTTGCATTCTTCTAAAATAAGAAAATAATCTGCCATACTCAACAGGATGACTCAGTAGGGAATTTTAGTTCAATATAATTTTATTCAAAAATTTGCAAAGCTGAAGGAGGGATCTGATCTTTTGTTGGAAGGAAGCCATTTTTCACAGTATATATTTTGCCATTTTAGCTCTGTGAAGAACCATAACATATGAGGATTATTTCTGCTCAAGATCCCCAGACCATCAGACTCAGCCAGGTGAGTGTGATGTTGTGACAAGGAGGGCATTCCCTGGTCCAAAGCTCACAGTAAATAAACCCTCTCACCCAAGCAGAGCCGGTTCTTCTCCAGGCACACACAGGAGTGCCTAACCTCACAGCTCTGCAGAGGGCCCTAGAAATCCTTCAACTGAAAGATGAGAGAAATGTGACAAGATTCCTTACCTCTGTGTCTGCAATAAAACCAACTACCTAGTAACTCCTGACCATTTCAAGTATAAAATACTTGAAATTTAGAAGGTGTTCCACATTTAAGAGAACAATTCAAAAGTTAAAAAAATTAGGTCAAAGTAACATGCTTTCATGTTTAAAAGTGTTACTTAATAAAAATGACACAAGACACACAGCATTTTCTTGGACTTGTTCTCATAAGAGTCCCACTGACGGTTGCTACTGGATGGTAAAAAAAAAATTCAAAAGAGAAGAAACCACACATATCCACATATAATGATACTTGCAGGGAATGTCACGTTTAAACTTTGTTAATTAAACTAGAAAAAAAAAGAAGTCTACAAAACCAACAGGTGACTTTAAGTGATGAGGTAGATATTTTTTCCCCTATGCAGTAAGGTGAAGATAACAACAACAACAACAAAAATGCATTCAATTTTAAAATCTTCTTTACAAAAAAGTTCTGGGTACAGTCACTTTCATATGCAAGACATTTATAAATGATGAGTAGCAGAGATCATTCTCAGGTCTTATCGGTGTCTGTCTTATTGCCACTTGCAGATTCAAGAATTAGTCTGGGTTCAATCAGTTCTCCCCAAACAGCAGTGATCTGAGGAAAGACACAAAATATTCAAGTGAGAGACTTCATCTGAGGTCATATATGAAGACAAAACCAAACACATTACCATGGAGTTTAATCCCAGTTCATAGCAACTGTACCTGTGAGAAAGCTGCCTTGCCTCATTAGGGTTTCAACACTGCTTCTGAAATCTTTCAGAAGCAGACCGCCTCATCTCTCTCCTGTGGAGCAACGGGTGGGTTCAAACCACCAACTTTCAGTAAGCACGTGAGGGTTTATCTGTTGCCCAACAAGGGAGCCTTCAGGGGAGTATGTCCTATTGATGCGGAATGCTTGAAAACTAACTCAAAAACTCAAGTTCACTGCCATCAAGTTGGTTCCACTGGGCAATCCTCCATTGGGTTTCCGGAGCAGTAATGGGAGGAGCCTGGCCTACTCTGTCCTTTGGAGTCAATGGTGGATTTGAACCTTTGGCCTAACAGCATTAACTCCCAATGGACTAGTTGAATCCTAGAGTACACTGAGTTCAATTAGGACAAAGGAACTAATTTACTTAAAGCACGTACATTTTACATTTAACTAACATAATCTTTCTTTGATTTAGAACGAGGGATGGGAAAATAGGGTGCTTGGCTACAAAATGGTCAGTACAGGCCCCAACAAAGTCAGAGGTGACCCACAGGGATTATCACTAGATTCTTATGCTCCTTTTTGCAGCTCAGTAAGTCTTACCTTCTGCTGTCTAAATTACAGAAGATAGTTCCCCTTTTATAAAGAGAAAGCAATTTTTTTACACTTGCCTTTCTGGATCAATGAGCGCCACCTAGTGTCAAGGAGAGGTAATTACAGGGTTTCTAACCGTAATTCAGGTGTCTTGTTTAACAGGCCGGAAAGGAAAAGACACGTTTCCAGGGATAAATTTCAATTAAAAGTGGGTTTGCATATAAACTGAAAATCTGATGGTTTTCATACAAACTCTAAAAATGTGTTTTTGGAACAAACTCTCAAGCATATCATCTATCTAGACTTCTCCAAGTTTGCATTTTAGATTAAACTTGAGTTTGCAAAACTGAAACTCACAGAAGAATACCCATTCACAAGTTTGTTATTTGTGTGCATCTTGTCATGTAGGGCCTTTGTTTTGCATCTGCTGTTCATGTGCTACATTCTAAGTAGAGCAAGGTGTGTCCGTTGTCGTCGTCATTGTCCTGTCCCGTCCCCCCCCCCTTGTATCCTTCTTGGTTTTAAGAAGGCAGTGCAGGAAATTTAGTGTCCCCTTCTAGACCCCAGGCCAAGAGAGACTGTAAGACAGATTGATGCCAAGAGAAGCCCACCTACCTTCTTCTCCTGCGTCACAGCATACTCCACCACTTCAGTTCCATTTTCATTGTGATAAACCAAGTCAAATTTTCCAGGTTCTTTCACAACTGAAACCAAAAGGTAAGGAGAACAGGCAATAAGTGATTCCCCAATATTTGAAATGTTCCTCTCTGGGCAATCTGTACAATCAGAAGACCCACCAGGGGCTAGCAGTCGGTTAATGGGAAGGCTGGGTGCACACAGCTAAAGCATGCCGTGCTCTAGAAGAGCTTTAGAAGCCCACGTTCGCAGACAGGGGTTTCCCGGCTATTTGCCAAAGGAGAACCTTGTGTCACTGGAAAAAAATGTGCTTGAAAAAACTGTCACTAGTCCTCCTAGAATAGAAAACCACAAAGCCCAGTGACTTGAATCTCAAAAGAGACCTGTTATTTCTCTATCAGACCACAGAACAAGCCTGATCCAATGCTTAAGAGCTGATTCCAACTCACGGCAACCCTCCGAGGGGTTTCCAAAGCTGTAAATGTTTATGGAAGGAGACTGGTCATTTTTCCTCTTCAGGGTAGCTGGCAGATTGGAGCTGCTGACCTCTGGGTTACCAGCTCGGTAAGGAGTTCATCGGACAATGTTTTATAAAATCTTGGCATCGTGTTCTGCCCTCAGAAATTACAAATGCTCTAACTCACTAAAGACACTTGGAAAGCTACTTTATGACATTAAAAATGTAAAGGTTAAAATACTGGAAGGTGAATCACACTTTAGGATAACTCACCAACACAGAGAGTAACAGATGCCTTCTTTGAAATGTGATTCAACACTTAGTAATACAAGTGTTGTATTACTTAATAATTACTTAATAATACAAACTTACAATACAAATTCAAATAATACAAAGTTACTACTTAATAATACAAACAGTACTCATTTCTCATGATACTGTGAGAAAATTAAAAAACTCTGCAAAGTAATCTTAAGTAATTAATGAGGAAAATTAGAATTATCCTCCAATCTTTAATTCTGACTGTATAGGGAAATGGAAAAAAGAAAACTTGTATTGATGAAGTACACTATAATTTAGGGAGCTCTGGTGGCCTGGCTGGTAAGGCGTTGAACTGCCAGTCCAGGGTAACTGGTTTTAATCCCCCAGCTGCTCTGCAGGACAAAGATGGCAATCTCTTACCATGTGATTTACAGCCTCAGAAACGCTGCTCGAGTGTCAGGTATGAGTCAGTTCTGACCCAACAGCAATGAACACCACCACTACGATTTAAAACATTACAAACACTGGGAACAAAGTTCTTTTATTTCTCGGTAAAAATCTTATGAAGGGTCTTTGAATAGTTCTTGCTTTGTTATATTTCAAAGTGATATATCACACTTTGTTATATAATTTCAAAGAAAGTATCTATTACTCTATGCTTAGGCAAATTGTCATATAAGTGTGGGTCACCTTCCAATATTTTAACTTTTGCACTTTTAATGTCAAAAAGTAGCTTTTCAAGTTTCTTTAGCAAGTTCTAGTGACTTAATGGTAAAGAACTATGTTGTCAACTCAAGGTATTATGGTTTGAATCCACCAGCTGCTCCACAGGAGGAAGAGAGGCGATCTCCTCCCATATGATTAACTTCCTCTGAAAACCCACTGAAGGATCAGCTATGGGTCAGTTCTGACTCAACAAGAAGTTTCTTTAAATTGAAGGTTTTTTACTATCGTTAACGTCCTCTGGGATATTTTCTTTTTTATTTTCATTACAACCACTCTTCTCATTTCTGTAAGTTCATACTAACAGCAGCCAACATTCCTACATGTAACTATTTCTTCTAAACTTCACTTAGATTCAATGTAAAATTTACTTCCAGCATTACCACTTTTTGGTTCTTTGCTAGGTTTTCATCTTTGCTGATTAATTCTTCCTTTCAATTAGTCCCTCTTTTAATTTTGTAAAGTGTTATGTGGGTTTATGACCAAGGACCAAGGGTACCATTGCATGATCTGCTGTCTACGCGCGAGCTGAACAAATGCTTGGTGACTGAGCATCGACAGGCAGTCAACATGATGTGACTGGTCACAATTTGCATGTTTTCAGTGATTTATGGGCTAAAATGTCAGCAGGACCTTATTCAATTATGCACATTAATATACCATTAATCCATTGACATCAAGTCGATTCCAACTCTGACTCTGTGGGTGAGGCCGTAAAACCTCCCTGGAGACTGTCCCACCTTTTCCCCTGACATCTACTTGCCAACCTTTCCCTTTATGGTCCAGCTCTTTAACCACTTCACCACCAGGGCTCCTTTAACATATTGCAGTAACAGCAATCTGAACTCCATGTTGTTGGAGGACTGTATGATTTGACTAAATCATAGTAACTGATGAAGTTCATGTACATTGGAACCATGCAAAGACTGCCTTTTTTTCTATTAGAGGCAAAGCAATTTCTTGGTGCCCTAAAGAAGAAAAGTTCTAACTGGATGTCATCACTGCCAATCATCTGAAGAGCAGTGACCCAGTCGTGCCCACAGATTCACAGACAAACTCCTCTGCTTCCTGAGAAGAGGGGCGTCCACAAATGAAACCTAATCAGGAGCTGGAAAACCAGTATAAGCTACATCCGCTTCTTGCATCAAGAAGGGAATTTACTGGAAAAACTTCCTGACAAGCTTCTGTTTGAGTTTTTAATCTTTTACTATTTTATTTAAAGACTGAAAACAACTGCTTTATGGAGTCTGCCATAGAAAAAAATCTCCCTTGCTCTCTGGCTAGGAATCTCATTCCAAAATTAAGTCCTATAGAGCAAAGGTCCTCTTTCAGAACCAGTCCTGGGTGGAATCGATCAGGGATAAAACAGGGAACAAATGATGATAATAATGCACCTGTAAGAGTGTGCGTCCTCATACTTCAACCATTTTATTTTAACTTAATGCACAAAAATATGTTATTTGCCAATCTTTTGAACCAGATTCAAGTAGTCTAGTAGTCTATGAATAAGGGACTGCTATAGAGATGATGTTCTCACATAAACCACACCCATAATGTACTCCTCTAATGTCCTTACTTTCCAACTGGGGCCTTTTTATAAAGTGACAGAAGAATGTAGAAATTTGCAAGATAATCCGAGGGCAGGATTCTTGCTTTTTTACAGAATTTCCCCCATTTACAGCTGATCTAGCTCCACGTAATTCAACAGTATTTTTTTTTAAATCAACACTCCTGAGTCAGGATTCAATGTATCCATCAATTTGTATTAGTTTATATAATTTATTAAATATATATGTATAGCAATAAGAACAATTAGCCTAACAGCTTTGCAATGAACCCACCAGGCTCTGAATAAACTCATGACTCCATGTGTAGTGGTGGGGGTGTGGACCCCAGAGCGGACAGAGGAGTGAGAGAGAGCACAGGAGGTCAGGAGGCTGGCAAAGCGGGAGAGATTCTGTGCACAATCACTGCTGAGAGAAGAAAAGCCTGGGTTCCCAAATACCGTCCTAAAAGACTCACCAGGTAAAGATGAAAGGATTTCTATATCGACTTGCTGGGTCTCAGGATTATGGCTCAATATTTTTCCTTCCTTTCAAAAATAAAAATCCAAGTTAAAAATCAGCATGTCCATATACTAAACACCACTGAAATATACATTTTTTAATAGTTATAACAGTGAACTTTATGTTCATTAAGAAAGTCCTCAACATGGAAATTAAATCAACATGTAGAGGAAATACAAATAAATATGTGAACTGATAAACCCTCTAAATGAATATACATAAAATCTCTATGGGGTGAGGGAAGGGGAAAAAAAAACAAAACCCAACCCAACTCCAAAAAACAATTGCCACTGAGTGGATCCTAACTCCCAGCAACCCCACTGTGCCAGACCAGAGGTTTTCAATTGCTAATTCCTTGGAAGAAAAATCACCAGGCCTTTCTTCCAATGTTCCTATGAGACTTGGTTAGCAGCTGAATCTGTTAACAATTTACACTATGGAGGGAATGCCAAGGTATCAATAACCACAGGGAATCCTAGAAAAAGAATACTGTTTTTAGGTTCCACTTGGTCAGTGCTACTTCTAGGTTTTACTTGACATACAAGAGAATGAAATCCTGTCCCACCTTGCCCAATCCCCACAATCTCTTATGTGTCTAAACCCATCATTAGTCACTATGTTAATCTATTTCAGCAAAAGAAAACAGTTACAATTAAAGGTGACACCAATGTACTGGATTGCCAAGTGACAAACGAAGGAAAAAGGCAGAGGGGAAAACAAGCAAGGATGCTGTATTATTCAAAGGAGTACTGACCATCAAGGCACTCACCGTAAAAAATAAGGCCACAGATGTTTAGTGAGACAACAAATTCGTGAGTGGGGAAAAATGGGAAGAAAACTCATAAATGATCCATTTGATTAAGTCATGCTTTCTATGTGAGCATTACCTACAGTTAGCTGACAGTGCCAAAGAAATGGTATTAGAGCATGACCAGAAATGGTTCACAAGTATATAAAACACAGGACAATGATAAAAAGAAAATTTCGTTGAAAACTACATAGAAATTATTTTCTTCCAAAGCAGGATCATTAGAGAGAGCGGTTCAGATAATTTTGTATTTCTAAGCTGATTTAAATACACACACAAAAGGTAGCTATTAAAAAAAAAAAATAAGCTTAGCATTCTCATTTCACAGTTTTTCCAAGTGTGAGGAAAACAGTGCTGGCAGGTATCAGACTTTACATTTTAGTGTTTTTATTTTCTGCTTTATGACATGATATACTTTAAAAAAAATTACCTATAGAAGTATTAAATATGATTTGTTTAATATTTGGCAACTTCATATTTTTTAATAAATGGCCATACCTTGTAATCAGAGATATCAGGAGAGTAATCAGATGTTAGTTCCAAAAGCTAAAAAGAAATTTAAAAATATATAAATACACATACACACAACCCCCCAAATTCACTGCTTGTGAGCTGTTTCAAACTCTTCGTGGCTAAACGGCCCTCAATGGGACTCTAAGGCTACAAATCTTTATAGAAAGGGATTGCTCATCTTTTCTCTGAAGAGCAGGATAGAGGATTTGAACCACTAACCTTCTGATTAACAGTCCAACCATAAAACAAAATACACAGCACCATAAATACATAAGTTCTTAAACTCACACATTCCCATGGTGCCTCACATACCGATGGGGGGAAGTTTATTTCAACTACTCTGGGGACCCTATCATGAACCTAGGACAAAGTAAGGGTTCCAGTGAAAATATCAGCTGACCTGTAGTTAAGTGCCATAGTGACCCTATCCTGAGTCATCCTTACAATCTCTGAAATGCTTAAGCCCACTGTTACCATGTAAGGATGTATTTCTATTTTAATGTATACATTAAATGTTTCTAACCTTACTAGTTCAGTCAGTTTATTTGGAAGGGAAAGTACTGCGCTGTAGTAACTCTTTTAATATGTACCTTAAACACAATCTTTTCTCCAACTTGAGGGGCCGCTAACAGCGGTAACATGCTGTAGTCCTTCTTGGGTGCCTCTACTGGATTCTGAAAAATAACAGGATTAATCATGTGACTTTTGTTACTGGTGAGAAAATCCAAACCCATAAAATCAACTCAAGGCACATCACATGGGTGAGAGGGAAAGTGAGGTAGTGGTACTTGCCTGGATGATCACAGAGGAGTTCGTTACGATGTCGTTAAGCTGCTGCTGGGGCTGATAGTCATTGTTTCTATTAGAAACAGAGGACATGGCTTGTCCCCGTCCTCGGCCTCTGCCCCGCATGCCCCGACCCCTAGCTCCTTTCCAAGGAAGAAGATCCCCTCCTCGACCCCATCCTCTTCCCAAATTGGCGGGAAGAGACAAGCTGAAAGGAGGGCCGGGAGCCTGCCTGCCACTGTTTGAATCTGAATGCTTCCATCCAGGGGCATCTGGGGTCTGTGACTTCAATGGCCCTGGACAACCTCTTGTGGTGGTCTTTGAGAAATCTGCAGCTTGCTCCTGGGGTCCCTGTTTCTCTCTGCTCTGGTCGTCTGACTCTGAGCTGGAATCTGAACTAGAAGATGATGTTTTATTTGCCTTGCTCTTGACAGCGTTTTGGTTGAAGCTCGTTTTTGTAACTCCTTTGTTTGAGGTTGTGCTTTTCAGGCAGGGCCTTTCCTTCGATGATCCAGTGCTCTTCTCCAAGGGCAGCCTGACCCCCACATTGCTGAGGCCATCGCTGGTTGATGTGCTCAAATCCTCAGAGTCTGATGAGGAACTGGGATTCTCTTTGGCACAGATGCTCACCATACCTTTCTTTTTGACTTTAGCATGGCTGTTTCGAGCAGGCGAACCTTTCAGAGGACTACAGTTCAAGAGGGTCCGTTCTTTAACTGCCTGTGTTTTAGGAGGTTTGTGATTCTTGACCTGCCTTTTACTTTGGTCTTTCTCCTTTTTCTTAGATGCTTTTCTCTTGGTCTCTTTGTCATCGTCACTCACTACCTCACATGCTGCTTTGTTATTCCTCTTGGTTTTCTTCCTCACTTTCTGATCTGTGACCGTTTTGGGTTCCTTATCCATGATCTCATCATTACTGTTACTGTTCTCCTGCTGCTTCCAGTGTTTCCTGGGATATGTGTCACCTGAATCACTTTCTTTATCTTCCACAAACTTAAATGTCCGTTTTTTTGTTTTTCTAGATAATACACCATAACTGGCTGCTACAGAACTGTCGGTAACACAACTCTCTTCTAGTTTAACTCTGTGAAGAGAACAAGAGAGACAGTGAGAAAGAGTCATTCAGACATATTCTCTGAGATGTAGTTATACACTGAGAGGACTCTACAAATCATCACTGCAGAAACTGTCAGAACCCTGGGGACAAAAGACACTGACAAAATGTTTACAAGACACTTAATGGTCAACTTTCAAATGACCAGTCCTATTTACTGAAAAGCTACTGTATCCCCACATTTTCTGTAAATTTCCTCTAACATCACCATGAAGTGCGTATCCTTCATCTTACAGATAAAAAAATTATACTTCAGACAAGTCACATGCCCCAGATGAATGGCTATTAAGTACCAAAAACGGAATTCAAACTCAACTTATCTAACTTCGAAGCTCACACTCTTTCTACTCCCATCCAAGAAACTGGATTATATGCTGAAGAACGTAGTATCGAGATTGAAGGAAGACTCATGAATAACCTGTGTTATCTAGATGACACAACTTTGCTTGCTGAAAGTCAAGAGGGCTTGACACGCTTACATCTCAACATCAAGAAAATGAAAATTTTAAAAAAGAAAATGAAAATCCCCACTATTAGACCAATAAGGAACTTTGTGATAAATGGATAAAAAGACTGAAGTTGTCACAAGAAACACCTCACTTGAGGGAGAGAACTGTTTAGGAAGAGTACATGATTAGGTATTATTGTCATGACAAGAGTCTAGAGTGAAGGCTGCACAGTAGAGCGGACTAGCTGGGGAGGTGGGGAGGAGGGAGACTGTATAACAATGAAAAAATTGTTTTGTATTTTTCAAAGAGAAAAGCGAACTGGGAGGCAGGGAAGAGAGTGTGCAACGATGAATGAATGGAAATCCAAAATCTCTATAAACTTCCATTAAAATTAAAAACGGGGGGGGGGGAAGAAAGAAAAGTGAACTGGGGTAGGGCAGGGAGTAAAATGTGCAATAATGAATAAATGGAAATCCAAGTTTTCTGTTAAAAAAAAAAAGAAACACTTCACTGCAGTCAAGTTGGAGTTGGCTCACAGCTGACCCTTCAGTGGGTTTCGGAGGCTGTAAACTGCTCATCTTTCTCCCTGGGAGTTGCTGTATAATTAAAAGTGCTAGGGAGGTGGCCCCTTTAGACCAGCCACACAGCTCCCTATTCATTCTAAAGAAAAGAATATAGGAGGGGCAATCTCCTCCTGTACCAATCAGATCCCATTTGATGGTACACACACACACACACACACACACACACACACACACACACAAATTTAAAAAAAAAGAATATAAATATATGCTTATGTATGTACAGAGAGGATCTAGAAAGATGTATTCTAAACCTAACTGAAAATATTTCTTGAGAGATGGTACTTCTGGAAAAGATATATGTGAGAAGAGGAATGAAGCACATTTTATCTTGACCTATTTTGAAGTATTTGTTAAACAAACTTTTTGTTTGTTGTGTGCTGGCATCCAAAAGCTGGCAGTTCAAATCCACCAGCTGCCCCATGGGAGAAAGCTGCTCCAATCTCTCCTGTGATTTACAGCCTCTGAAAACCCACTGGAGGATCAGTTAAAAAGTCGGTTCTGACTTGATAGCAATGAAGATGAAGATTTTTGTTTGTTTCAATAAAAAGGTGGGAAGGGACCTCAAAGGCTCTAGAAATTTAAGCGGCAATGGTCTAATTTTATTGGTCTGCTCAGAGAAGAAGTAGCTCTCAAGACTGTCAAGTTTAGAAATCATCAACATGCTGTGAAACAAAATTCAGTTTCAAAAGACCCAGAGTTACACAACCTGAACTGAAATTATCCTCTCTGGACTCGAAGTATCAGTCTGGTTCAGACACTGTCCACTTAACTCCCACTGCCAACCCTCACTGCCATCATGCATGGAAAGGTAGAGGGTCAGGGAAAGAGAGGAAGGTCTTCAATAAGATGAATCAACATAGTATCTGTAACGGTAGGTTCCAGTATCAGAGATAATGAGGATGGCACTGGCCAGGACAAGGTTCAAAGGTACGACTCTTGTTCATAAGTCATAGTTGACGCAATGGCACCTAATGACAACATCGGATTATATTTATTACTTATAACAGGAGGAGAGGAAGACCCTCGATGAGATGGATTGATTCTGTGATTGGCATGGTGGGAATGAGTGTGTTTGAGATGGTGAGGTTGGCACAGAATAGAACGGCGTTTAGAGCTCTTTATTATGTATGTACCATCAAATCAGATCTGACTGTTACAGGAGGAGATTGCCCTTCCTTTTGCAGCAGAGCATCTGGTGGATTCGAACTGCACACCTCTGAGATTGCAGTGCAACTTCTTGCCACTAGGCCACCAGAGCTCGCGTACATAGGGTCGCTATGAGTTGCAAGCAACTCGATGGCACATAACAACAACAACAGTTTTCACAGGTTTTTGGTTATTGTTTTTTTTACATTGTTACCTTAATTATAATGTAATTGCCAGAGATCCATTAGTTAAAGTATAAATGGAGTCAGCTAGAGGCAAGTTATTCATTCATCAGTCAGGGGACAGACAGTTCAGATGGCAAATTTAATAGCGGGACACAAACCTGACAATGGCCCTTAAGCTGCAGGGAGAATGGACATACTTCACAGAAAAGAAAACAATATTCTTTTAGAAATTTAAACTGCTCTAAATTATCATGAGGAGGTGGTGAACACCTTAATAATCATAGTATTTCTAACTTGAAAGAGAGAGACACACATTCAAAGAACAATAATCATTGCAAATTACATTCTCAGATCTTCTGAAGAAATCTTGACTCTGACACACTCTGGGGACATGACTATTTAACAATAACCAACAGCAAAGAGGAAGCAGGTTGGTCTACATCTCTGGAATCAAAGAAATGTAGTTTGTAATTTTAAAAATCAGTAAATACCTATAAAGGCTTTCAATAAATGAGCCCAAGATTATCTCAACTAGAATGATTATGTCTCACCGTTTTACTGGGACAAATCAATCACATCTGGTCAATTCAAACCACAATTTCGTCTCTTTGCTCACCTCACTATATATCATTTTATAACATTCCCACAAACCTGTGGTGTGAATTCCCACTCTTTGGGACCGAGTGAAACTACCACTGGGTTTTCAAGGCTGTACATTTTTAGGGAAGCCGACTGTTCCATTTTTCTCCCAAGCAGTGCCTGTCAGATTTGAACCACTGACTTTCTAGTTAGTAGCCCAATGACTTAAACATACAGCCACCAGACCTCCTAAATTTCCAAAAGCACATTTAAAACTACTTTGCATTCTCCCAATTCACAACTCTTCTGGACACAAATACCTATTTAAGCACCACCCCACTCTCCCAAACACGTGCGAGACACAGCAATCTCTGGGATGCTGCTAGTGAACAAAAAAGGCTAGCCAACCTGTATTTAATGAAAACCTCCTGTTCCTCTCCATTTACGTGGGTCCCTTTCACCATACCCTGAGGTTTGCCACGTGGAAGATCACAGCTCTGGTACATATATGTCAAACGCTTGGCTAAGTGTAAAAGACAAAAATAAATCCCCCCCCCCCAAAAAAAATAGCCCCAACCACTTCTTTCCAGTTGATTCTGACTCACAGCTACTTCCAACAGGTTTCAGAATCTGTAAAATCTAAACGGGAGCGGGAGACTGCCCAGTCCTCTCTTGGCCACTGGCGGGCTAACCACTCTGAACTTCTGATGAGCAACGCAACACGCTAGGCACTATGCTATCGAGGCTGAAACAAACGGGCCTTGACCATGCATCAAATGGATGCTTTCGCAAGTCTGTTCTGCAATCATCCACATGAGAAGCACCAGGGGAGGCATGGGCATTCTAAAGGCAGACTGCTGAACACGGCATGATTGGAACGAGGAGAAATCTCTGAGTCTCACAAATCTGCATTTCTAACAATGATGCTTGTAAAGGGTCCCAGTCCCCCGCCCCCGGTGCAGGACCCCTCCTGGGTGCCCCGCCAGCAGAGCGCTCGCTTCGCCCGAGTGCGCAGGCGCGCCCCGCCGCCCCCAGCCCACCGCACACCTGATGCAGTCGTTGTCTCGCACCAGGCGGGCGCTCTCGCCGGGAGGCAGGAACCCCCCGTCCAGGTAGAGGCCTAGGCAGGCCCCGGAGCTGAAGCCAAAGCGCTGGCGGACAAGACTAATGAGATCCGTGACAACTCGGCATCGGCCCAAGTCGACGAGAAGCCAGAAGATAGTGCAGTCCGGCGTGGTTGGCGGCGGGTAATCAAATTGAAGCCGTAGTCTAACCGTCTCGGAAGCTGCCATCTTGCTCCGTGATCTACGGAAGCCGAGAGGTACCACGCCGCTACGGAGAGGCGCGCTCGGGAGACCCGCCCCCTGGGGCCTTTGAACGAATGCCCCCTCTTGATGGCTTGTGGTTACTACAGGCAAGAACGGTTGATTTCTATTCCACTTCAATCATGGCAGGGCTTAGGTAAAGTGCAAATGAAATACCTGTATTCTTTTCCTACTATTCGACAAATGGCTGGGAGAAAATAAATACTGGTTCTTCTAACACTGGAAAAAAAAAATAAACAGTGGTTCTTCTAATACTGCATAGTCACTCTAACAGACTGCTTCTCCCAAGAGTGAATAATCACTCCTAGAAGACCACTACATAAGGGAGCTCTGGTGTCCTACTGGCAGGAAGCTGCACTGCATTCCCAGAGGTGGTGGTGTTGTTATGTGCCGTCGAGTCGTTTGCGACTCATAGCGACCCTATGTACAACAGCCCTAAACCCTGCTCTATCCTGTGCCAATCGCATTGCCTCTTACACACCCATCCCAATTACCCCAGTCACTGAATCAATCAATCCACCTCATAGAGGGTCTTCCCCTCCTGCGCTGTCCCTCCACCTTACCAAGCATGATGTCCCTCTCAAAAACCTGTCTCTCCTTACAACATGAGGTACGCGGTTCAAATCCACCAGATGCACTGCTGGAGAAGGAGGGGCAATCTCCTCCTGTAACAGTCAGATCTGATTTGACGGTACACATATACAAAATAATAAAAATTTAAAAACAATTAATAATTTAAAGAAGATCACTACATAGAAGTTATTGAATCCTAAACCATTCGGGGGTCTTTTGCATCAGGATTGGAGAAAGACTCATCAACAACCTGGGTTATGCAGATGACACAACCTTGCCGCAGAAGATCAAAGCTTACATATGGCCTTCAATATGGGTTACATCTCAAAATCAAGAGAGAGGGGGAGCTCTGGTGGCCTAGTGGCAAGGAGCTGCAACTACAATCCCAGAGGCAAACGGTTCGAATCCACCAGATGCTCTGCCGGGTAAGGAGGGACAATCTCCTCCTGTACCAGTCAGATCTGATTTGACGGCACACGCACACAAAAATAATAAAATAAAAAAAATTAAAAAAATCAAGAGAGAAAAATCCTCACCACTGGGCCAATAGGCTGCATCATGATAGATGGAGAAACGATTGAAGTTGTCAGCGATTTCTTCTTACTTGGATCCACAACCCTTGACACCTGGCTGCCAGGAAATCAAGACATACAGCATTGGGGATGTTGGCTGTCGGGGACCTCTCCAAAGTGCTGAAAAGTAATGATGTCTGTTTGAAGGCTAAGATGCACCTAATTCAAACGGCCATCATAAATTTGCTATGAAGCTGGAACAAGGAATAAGGATGACAGAAGAATCAATGTCTTGGATCTTACTGTTTCAATTCGCAGTTCCTTGACAACATATGTTGAGCATAAATGTACTTTTGAAACTATTTGGTGTAATCTGATTCCCATACAGCAGGAAATGTATTCTGTTTCCTAATTCATTGATTAAAACCCAAATTGCCATTGAGTCCATTTCAACTTAGTGACCCTACAGGACAGTCAAATTTCAACATAGGATTTCCAAGGGTATAATCACAGAAATCACAGACTACCATGTCTTTCTCCCAAGCATTAAAATAAAACTATCTGAAGAAACACATGCGCACTCTCTCTCTCACTCTTGCTCTCTCTCTCTCTCTCTAACACACACACACACACACATACACACACACACACACAGACATACACACCCCTCTGCCATCTACTTTTCCTCCCCTCTTCTCAAGAAATTCTGCTTTCTAAAAGTGGCTCTTAAAAAGTTCACTAGAGCTTAAATTCTAAAGCACTTGCTATGTAGAAAGCTGAAGTCCTCGGCAGGAGCTTTTATTCCATTTTGGGTTTGACACAAACTCAAACTCTATTAGGGCTTAATGTTATTTCCCCAGTGCTTGCTGGGAAAGCAATTAAACCAATGATGCACCTTTGTACAGGAAAAGGTAGCTTGCCCTCAGGAAGAATGTGGTTGTAAGTAGATTACAAATCCCTGGCAAACCCCAGGAGTGGCAGCTTGCCCTCAGGCAGCAGACATAAAGAATGGAGGAACTTGTCTGGATGTGTTCTTTGGTGCTTTTGATGCTTTAGTCCTGTCTTAGGGGAGGGGGACCTGGAGGGCAAATATAAAAAAGAAAAAAACAAAAAAACCCCACATATCGTTGAGTTGATTTAAGACAAAAGCAAAAGATTTACTGAGGGATAGGTATGGTCCTGACAGTATGACATCTTTGTTCACAGAGTGAAGAAATGACCGCTTTGACAGACACAAACATTTTTGTATAGTTGGATGTTGTGTGCCATCGAGTCAGAGCCAACCCATAGCTGACCCTCAAGCAAGTATTCAGAGGTATGGGAGGAGATAGCCCAACCTTCTCCCACAGAACAGCTGGTAGATTCAAATCTCATGCCTTTGGGATGACAGCAGCGCAGTTTCTTAGCCCTAGGCCACTGGAGCTCCCTTGCAATTGGATAGGAAGTCAAACTTCACATAGATAGGATGATAGAAAAGAAGAGTAGGAAAAAACATAGAAAAAGAGAGGCAAAATTGGGATATTTAGAAGTGAGTATTTGTCAGAGATAAATGGTTAAGACTGAAGTCAAAGAATTTCTTTTACTTGAAGCCACCAACACCACCCATAGAAGCAGCAGTGCAAAGAAAGATTTATTACTTTAAGGACTAAGGTACATTTGACTTGAGCCATATTTAATCTCTTCATATGTATCTCTCCTTAGGAGAGACAGGTCTTTAGAGAGGGACATCATGCTGGGTAGAGTAGAGGGACAGCGCAGGAAGGGAAGACCCTCTGTGAGGTGGATTGATTCCGTGACTGGGGTAATCGGGATGGGTGTGTCAGAGGCAATGAGATTGGCACAGGATAGAGCACGGTTTAGGGCTGTTGTACATAGGGTCACTATGAGTCGCAAACGACTCGACGGCACGTAACAACAACATGCCATGTAGTAGGGATTCTAAGTTTGCTCCATTTTTTTCACCTTTGATAATCTTTAT